GAATTCCCCAGCCAGCATGGCTGGCTGGGGAATTCTGGGAGTTGAAGTCCACCTATCTTAACGTGACTAAGGTTGAGAAACTCTGTTGTAGAGCAACAAGGAAAGGCTCTATTTTCTATTAAGCTACAAATGGCCATCTGAAAAAGTCTAGAATGGGTGTTGATTTGTTTCCTACGGACTAAGCCGCTAGACCTTATGAATCCTGGCGGAGCAAAAAAAGGCAGAACACTCTTGGAAAAGCGAACGTCCTGCTTTGTCATCCGGTGAGGAAAACCCTTTTTGAATGTAGGCTCTTTGCGCATTATGGTTTAATCCCTTTCGCTGTTTTTATGTCTTTTTCTTAGTTTTGTGTGCTGCCCAAAGTCCACGGAATCGGGCGGCCAATACATTTAAATCAATCGATCGATCAGTGAAATTATTTTCCAGATGTTCTCAGCAATTCCGGAGCGAAGCTCCAAAGGATGCAGATAAGCCCAGAGGTGCATTCTCCGTCCAAGCAAGGGAATTCTTCCAGCCAGGCCACTCCTTAAAATGCAACTTCTTACCCATCACAATACCTTGTGTGGATCAGTCCAAAATTCAATCGTATATTTGCATTTTAAACGTTTTTAAAGACAAGCTTCTGCCACAGAGCTTCGTCTGGAGTTCCCAAAAGGGGTTTGATCAAGACGTGTGGGTAGAACGCAGCTGTTCCAGTCTCACCTCTTCCTTATATTTTGCTTTCCAAGCCACGGATCCGGCTATCACGTGGCAGGGAGTTCCAGGGCTGAAGTCTGCATTGCGTGCAGCGGTGCGGGGGTGAGTCTGTCTGCAGCCCACGGCTGCTGCCCACTTATTCGAATAGCTTTGGCAGCCTCTCATTCTCCTGGAGGCCAGGGCTTGTGCCAAAACAGGACCTAGATTAGGCCAACCAAAATAAAATACAATAAGAAAATAGAGCGCACGCAGAAAACAATGGGCAGCTGAAAGGTTAAGGCAATCCGGCGTTTGACTGTCTGGCCAGAGAAAGGCAAACATTCGAGGAAGTGAAGCTGGCGCCAGAAGAACTCAGCGCCGGTACCAGCCGTTCCCCGGAAGAGACTTCCCCTGCTGGAGACAACCAGCTTGGGGCGTTCAGAGCCCCCAGACTCTCCCCAGCCGCCTTTTGCCAGCGCCCCGCTTCACCTTTGGGCGCTGGAGCTCAAGGCCTGCAGAGGCGCCCGTTGGAGGAGGGAAGAGGGGAGGGCACGGCCCCGCCGGGCCCCGAGGCGCGGGTTTGAAAAGGCGCAAGAGGCCGCCCGTTGCCTCGCCGGTCAGTGCCTCCTTCGGCTGAAGCGAACCGTCGGCTGACCCTGTGGCCGTGCCCAGGCCCAAA